GCTGTGTAATTGAAATGGAAATAAACTAAAAGATTTTTCACTATTTAACAAGATACGGACCAGTAACTCTTTCTTCAGGCATAAGAATACACACAAATGTACTTGGGCTGCTCGGAGAACATGTTCATTAATTGACTACGTAGTAGTGAATCAAAAGATGAAATATTTAGTGAAAGATTTCAAGCTCTTTAGAAGCTGCGACATACACAGTGATAATTTACTCTTAAGAACATCCATCGCTCTAAAACGTAGATGGTTAACTACTTGAAATAACTCTCAAAAGTCAGAAAGTTTATGAGATAAACCTACTCGAAGAAGAATCTGTAAAAGACCTATATCAGAGAAGAATACATCAATATGTAAATAATCTCTCTGAAGATGTCGATATTAAGAGAAAATGGAATCAATTGAAAGACGCCATTTACAGAAATGCAGAAGCAGCTATGGTCCCACAATTATGTAGACGAAGGGAAAAGGACTTGAGAGTATGGAACGCAGAAATTTAAAACCTGATCAAAGTCAAAAAAGAAGCCTTTCTTAAATAGTTAGGAAATAAATCAATCGAAAGCCAAACTGAAATATAAAAAAAAAGAGCATCAGTGAAAAAATACACACGTTACCTTAATAGTACTCACTGGGATAATACGTAGCTGAAATGGAATGTAATTTATACGCAAGACAGGATAATCAACCAATAAAAGACAAGTATTGAGTAATGTTCGAATGCAATAATTCTATTTAAACTTATGGACTGATACAGACATAGATGACAAATTAACTGAAGAAACTGTTTAAAAATAGAACTGAGAAATTCCGATCCCTTAACAAAAGAAGAGCTTCAAGATACTTTAAAAACAAGTATAAACTGGAAGCACGTCGAACGGACAAAGTTAATATGGAACTAATATGGAAATAATATGGATGTGCAATATGACCGGAAAGTTTACATAAAAAATTACTATAGTTATTCAATAAGTGATGGAAATACAAAGTAATACCACTAGATTGAAATGTGGCCTCTGTTATTCCAAGTAAGAGTTAAAGATGCCAGAACAAATCCAGAGAATTACAGAGGAATTAGTATAATAACTACTGTGTACAAAATAGTTAGGAAAGAGGATAAATAATATCGCTGATATCATTATATTAGTGGAACAGTCAGGATTCAGAAAAGATAGAAGCTACACGGGCAAAATCTTCTGAGTAAAACAACTAATAGAGAAACGAAAGGAACCTAACTTAGAAACACATTTATTGTTCGAAGTCGTAGGCTTCCGCGACCGGAGTCATGTGAATGATCTTGGCCGTCCGGGTGATGCCGCGTCGAAGGCTGTGTTGCCGACGTTTCGACCATTTTATCGTGGTCTTTCTCAGGGCTGCTGTGCCATGAGAAAGATCACGATAAAGATGGCTGAAACGTCAAATTTATTGATCGTTGATTATACTAAGGCCTTTGACAGAGTGATAAGAATAATGCTCTGGACTGTATTGAAGAAGAGAGGAATACTTTCACCTAAGAGCTGCCATTTACCTAAAATCTGTATAAAAACACAAAAATTAAGGTTAATCAAAATTTTTCAGTACTAATTAACTGACGTGTTCGGCAAGGCTGCCCTTTATCAGTAGGCCTTTTCAATTTATGTATTGACCAAGCAGTTAGACTGTGGCAAAACATAATAAAAGGAGGGGTAAATATAGATTGTAAGAGCTTCAGTGCAATGTTATATGCAGACGATTAAATATTAATTGCAAAAATTGAAGATGAAGTCCAAACTCTAAGATACAATTTAAATACTGCAATTAAAAGTTTAAATATTGTAACGTATATTGCATCACCTGTCGGAATTCGTCGCGCGCGGATTGCGTCATCTGCCGGCGCCACTTCCCTTCCCCCCGAACTGGACGGTTCCGGACGATTCGCGAGTCGCGGGGAAACGCGGAGAATGTGCCGGATGCCTAGAGACGAGCGCCGGGCAGGTATAAATGCGCCGCTGCCGGCGGCCGCGAGTCAGTGAGTAGTGAGTAGTGAGTAGTAGCAGTCAGTAAGTAGCAGAGAAGTCAGTCAGTCCGTCAGTGTGTCCGAAGTGGAAGCTGTGCTGTGGAGTGTGCATTGCGGTGAACTGTGGTGCAGTGGGGAATCAGCAGTCAGCGGTTTGAAGACTGCAGTGGAAGCTGAGCTGTGAAGTGTGTATCGCGGTAAACAGCAGTGCAGTGAACCCACCCTGGTGTGTGCAGTGAAGTGTGGACTGCGCAGGGAATTGGGGTCAGTGCAGTGGACCGTGGACAGAAGAAGAGAACAGTGTAAATAAATAGTGTGTAAGAAGTGAAGTGTGTAAATAAATAATCAAGAGAACGGAGTCGTATGTAAAGAAAAATAATTAAGTGTAATATATCTGTAAACAGACCAACTAGTTTTTAGTGCCAGTAGATTTTAGTGTATAATTGTTCACGAATAAACGTTTTGTTAAATAATACCAGTGAGTTTTAATTCACCACGAGAAACGTTACAATATGAAATATCAGAGGAAAAATCAAAAGTGATGGCATTTTAGGGAAACATCCCATCCGATAAAAATAGCAGTAGAAAATAAGCTGATAACGCTGGTAACCCAGTTTAATTACCTAGGTTCTAACACTGTTACACACACACACACACACACACACACACACATATATATATTATATATTATATAAATAATTTTAATATATATATATATATAATATATATATATTATATATATAATAGTATATTGAAACGAAGAACGTTTCGTAATTAGAAAATATAATGATCACCAATTATAAATTAAAATAACAGTACTGAGTTGATCAGCGCAGTAAACGCGCCGCGCGCCGCCACCCAACGGTCAAATCGGGGGGGGGGATACGGGCGAGGCAGCGATCCGTTAGTGGTGCGCGAGAGCCTCGAGTGAGCACCGAACGGGCAGTGTCAGCGAACAGAGATTTATTGTCGCTTGTTAAGTGCCCAGTCCGGACTGAGTGTGGCCGCTGAAGTGAACCAGCGATTTTATAAAGATTAACAGTCACGATGTTAGAGAAGAGAATTGCTCACCATAACTATGAAAACCAAAAGACGGAAAATCGTTGCAGTGGCTGATGTTATAATATCCCTGGTATAATATAACAATGGGAGTGCTTTACGAGAATCGCGCGGAGTTTAGAAAGGTTGCTGAAAAGACTAGAACAACCGCACGAACTCATTCACCTGCGTGCTTCAATACCCGTGAATATTGTTCAACCGGCTGGTGGACCCCGGCGAATCATCGCCGTTACTTGGGCCCAGAGAGTGTCGCCGAGGAGGCAATCCGGCGGACTTCGAGCAAACCGAAGCTTGCCGAAGCCACGCCGCCGTTCCACGACGGTCACCGTCGCCTCCAGAGGAAGCAGGTGTTTTTAAAATCAAGTAGCGTTGACCGTACGCTTGTTCTCAAGGCCGCGCATTACGATTTAAAATACTATTTGTAAAGCTGTCTCTGATCATTAAATATTTAGATGTGCAAAAAGTTATAACGATTTATCTTCCTATGCTGCGCCAAATTCTGGAGAACCCCCTTCACGAAAATGACTGCTCCTTGCACAATTATTGTCGTGAAAGTACGCTTCCCGGTACGTCACCAATATAATATATATATGATATATATACAATATATATATATATAATATATATATATATATTGTCGCGGAAACGACCCAAAAAATTAAATTTACAACTTCAACTATATTAATGGAACTATTAAAAGAACATTGAGAAATAAACGAACGCCTGAATCCATAATGAAAATACAAAGTAATGGACATCCAAACCATCACCTATTGCTCTGATGCCTGGACCTTAACAGCAAAATCCACTTCACGAATTCAAGCCTCAGAAATGAAATTCCTAAAATAGATTGCTGGATACACCCGACTAGATAAAAAGGAAATACTGAAATTACAGATTCATTAAATGAACAGAAGTTAAACGCATTAATAAACACCTATAGGTCAAACTGGTTTTATCACTTGCCAAGAATGACTAGAGATTGGATTTCGAAGTTGCTCAATAAGCACCCTCAAGGACGTAGAGGGCCCGACAGACCGAGGAGGTGGAAGTAGCAGCTCAACCCGAACGAAGACGGAACGGGCTAGACCAGGTCCAAACCATGTTGTAGAAGATATTTTGATTTTATGGGGTATTTTACATTAAGTCTCATAAACGTTTTCTGAAAAATGGCTACAAATGTTTTAATTAAACTTTATCCTCGATAACTTAAAGGTCGCTTAGAAGAATGGTTTAGTCCCCATTTTTGTTGAAATCTCTGATTTTGATGTTCAAAGGTTTTTCGGAAATTCCTACAACTACAATATCGAATAGATACTATTTTCTTCATATCTCTTCTTTAAAGGCAGATCTTCAAATAAAGTCATGTACAATATTTTGAATTATAAATAATTTTCACGTAATTTCGCGTGAAATACAGACAATTTAAAAAAAAAATTCGCAAAAACCTCTCCAAATTTTTTCTTCAAAATTTCTCCTCATATGTATCGTAATGTAAGGGTAGTATACAAATTATTACTGGTACCATTTCGGCGAACACTGTATTTTCAAAAATTGAAAAAAGCTAACACGGCAAAAGAACAATATTGAAGGTTAGATATTTTTACTCAAATGAAATATTTTCTTAAAGATAAGTTCTTTAAAGAAGATAAGAACACGTTTGTTAAAATTGAGTAGTTTTCGCGTAATTTCTGCTTGAAATAGTTGCAAATTAAAAAAAACAACATTGTCCTAGTTAGCTAAAATAAGCTCGAGGCCACTGAATTTTACAAATGTAAACGATATCTTGTATAAAATAATGATTGACTCGAAATGAAAATATTTTTTACTCACGTTTATATATATTTGCCGTGGTAATGTTTCACACACTGCTAGCTCTTACGTCGTAGTGAGGTTATACCAGTACTCTGGGCTTTGTTCATTACTTTAGTTGCATCCCTAGAGTCAACACGAGCAAATATTTCACAGTTGCCTCGAGCGCATTATAGCTGATTTACTTTCGCTGTTTGAGGCTGAGAATCTGTTTGCACATTATAAAGGTAAGTGTCTCTTATGGATTTAATTTCCTGCTAACGTGTTTAAGATTTAAACATTTTAAATATTTATTCTTGGAATTTAGAATAGAGTTTGAATGTTCTAACCTTTGTGTTTTTATCTCTCACATGTTAGATTTTCGCATATGAGTGATACAATTTATAATACTTTTATAAATCTTTTGCATAATGTTTAAACCACGTCAGTTTTGTCACTAAGATAATATGATAGTGTTTTCTATATCTGTTCTAGTAACCTGATGATGTAAAAAAAATTAGGACACAAAAGGTTGTTACATTTCGCCTGAAATAAATTATTGTCATAAAAACAAAATATACACTCTTCTGTGATATAAATATTACCGACAGTTTGGAAAGTTTGCTTTTAATCTGCAATTTCATTAAGAAAAATCTTTATCATCAATATTGTATTTGTGGGATGACGCCAAATATATTTAACCTTATTCAATTTGCACAAAATACAGATGGTAAGCGTACTTTGATGTGTTCGAGAAAGAATTAAAGAAATAATTTAGAGACGTTTTTGAAAAAACAATTTTTTTATTTGCCATTATTTCACGCAAAAAATACAAGGAAACTAATCATATTCTCAAAATAGTACGGGACCTCTTTTAAAGATCTCATTTAGAACAACAGATTACTTTTGAGGAAAAAATGTCTATCTTCAAGATAGTAGTTGTAGGAAAACGCCCAAAAAATCTTCTAACTTTTGCAAGTTTTGTTAATTACGAGAGTTCAACGAAAATGAGATGTGCACCATTATTATAAGAGTACTTTGCTCTTTACGAGAAAATAATGAATCAAAAAATTGGAGATTTGTCTTAAAACAGTTTGAAAATGTTGAGGTTTCATGTAAAATACCAAGAAAAATCAAAATATCGATTTTAAATTCGGAGGGCACTCATTTGGCCAGATAGAGCAGAGAATATAATTTTGTGAGTAAATCATCTGAATTGTTCCGACGCCAATGCCCATAGACGGACAGACAAACGTTTTGCCGTAAACAAATTTTCAGTATGGAGGACTCACAAAATGTTAATTCTGACTACACAACGTGTTAGAGGAAGTAATTAACGATACACAAGAGCAAGAATTATACACATTGTCGGTATGAGGGGCCCACAATGAGATTTTCTATCGAACAATCGTCACTTTCAGTGGCAGCGTTCACTACGTAGTCTTAACTACGTAAGTACGTAGTAGACAAGAACGTAAAAAGCACACTTCAACATAAATAATAAAGTAGATTTTACTTTCATCCCACTAATATATATGCAACGTGTATTAAAATTGTCCTTTAAGGATAGTAAAAAGCCATTCAAGCAATGTTTCCTATGCGAATGAAAATTCTAAGATTTTAGAAACCGTGGGGTGGGGTAACCGTTTGTATTTAATAAGGTTACAACGACCGTGAATAACTGTATGGCTTGATATTCTTGCAATTATGCCTAAATCCTAATTTCTCAATATCTTTTCATTGTGCAGTCCATGGGGCGTGCCATCATCCCTTTCGCTGTGCAACTGGAAGACTTTTCGGAATCACATGAAAGGTGGGCTTAGCACTTGATCACATCTGAAGAGCCGTTGGCAAGCAACTGCAGAAAAGCTGTTCCGGGAAGGTTTATACAGCGAGTTCGTTTGGAAGGGCGCGGCTTTGTGCCTAGGAAGGGCGCTTTCAAGGGAGAGAGCTCGTCCACGGAACACGCGGCGCACACTCTGCACAAAGGAGGACACGAGTGGAGGATCAGAGGAAATCGAGAACTAAAAGAAGTCTATAAGCAACCAAACTGCGTTGGAACCTCCAGAAAGAAAAGATGGCAATGGTTCGGTCGTATTGCTAGAACGGAATAAAACAGATTTGCCGGAACGTCATTGGAAGGTAACGTAATGGAAGGTAAGGAAAGTTGGGCAATGGGTCCAGAGAAAGACTTAAAGCTTCGCGCGTGAGAGGCTAGCTTCATACAAGAGGAATTGGAATGTTGAAGGCCATCATACAGGTCATAGTGCCTATGAACGATGAAAAATGTTGGGGGAGGGGCAGCGTTTCTTTGGGTAGTAAGCGAATATTATTCACTTACAACAACGCATTACACAAGGTGTTCATGCCTCCAGGATGAAAGTAGGTTATTTCAAAGGAAACGACCACACTGACTTCAAAAATCACTCTGAAACTTTTCTATCACGCAAGGTTAAAAAATGAGAACATATTTAGTATTTTAAATAAATAAAAACCTGTACTATAATATACTATAGTACATCTCGTTCTGAAATTGGAAGAGAAATGAGAGCGAAGTAAGGGGACGTTGTCCGGGCTTGCAGGAACACCGAGCTACGCGGGAAGGAAAGTGTCTCATGCGGGCGCAGTGGTAGCATTTCGAACAAATTTGAGAAACATTTTTTGAGTAAATGTGAAAAAAACCCTGTAATTGTTACCCTAAGAAGACTGTTAGAGAAAGAAAGAACTTTCACTTCAACTAGAATTAATTAATGTGTTCCATATGTGTAATGAATTATTAAATGTGTTTCTTATATTGTAGCCCTTGATTCAATGTGTTGTCATTATTCTACACGTTCCAAATTAAGAGAAACGAAGAGTAACGTAATTTGATATGGCTTCTTGAAAGCGGGGAGCCCAGGGCTCGGCAATAAAAAGACGTGAACAACTTGTTTTTATAATATTAATATAATAATATTAGTTTAAATAGTAATAATTACATCTAAATTTAATTATAAGAGTAATTTATTTTTTAAATATTTTTTTCTCTTTTCATATTGGCCTCTCCAAGTTACATTGTTGAATGATAATTTAAATCTATTTACTAAATCTCAGTATGTCACATTCAAAGATAAATACAGGGTTTCTGTCTGGATTTCTGTTACTCTCGTATCAGTTGAAGGGGCTGCTGAAGAACTATAACATATTACAAATACCCAGCAAAAAATAAAACTAAATGATTTCCTTTAATGGCATGTTTCACACTCATGGACGTATTACTACATACGACTTCTATTTTGAAGCCACTTTTAATTGCATTTTACTCGGAAGAAAACATCCCTACTCATAATTTAGCAACAAATTGGGAACGTCACTATGCATGTTTCATGTAGTTTAAGTTATTTGTTAACTGCCTTGACAATTAATTATCGTGTATATTTGATAATGGAAAAGCATTAACACACTATGGCTGTGTAGTGCACTGTTCACAAGAGGCCAGCTAGCCGCCGAGCAGTCAGTAGGACAGCAACTAGCGTTATGTAAACACCTGGCGACAACGCGATAGACAGTTCTTAGGACAGTCGATGTCCTGTGTAATTGCCCGGTGCCCTTCCTATTTTTAACCAGGGCTGTATACAGTATATGACATGGAGTGTCAACTCGGCGTGGTGCTCACAGCGCAGTGCAGTGCAGTTGTGTGTTTGTAATGAGTGGTATTAAATTTTAATTTTATTGTGTTTGGTTTCCAGGGATTATCGAAAACGGATTAGTTTAATTAATATTAATTTTATACACTCTTGTTTTATTGCTTTATTTATCAGAATATTTTTGTACGAAATCGCAAAGTACTAGGAGAGGTATACACGAAAAACAATAACAGTTGGAGTATACGAGATCCATGATACCGTAACAAGGTTCTTTGTTTCAGTATCATGGATGTAGTATTCTCCAACGGTTCTTCTCCTTCGTGTAATTTTCGTCTTCTGGGTAGATAATGAATGGTTCTGGCATACAGCTTTTCCTGAGAGATGCACAGTGAACATTTTAAATACACTTCCTTAATGTGGATTATGGTTCGTTAAAAGAGAAAACTGAAGTCAATAATCAGAGTTTATGTCATTATGGGGTTACACTTATTCACAGTGCTAAACAAGTAAATATCCTTAATGAATAATTGTTTTGAATTCAAGTGACCATTAAATGCATATTTGTATTGAGGATATCATCTGCATAACTGCACAAACTTTCACAATTGTACACGCTGCGTTTTTAGCAACTCGTGACGTCATCGTACCCTTTTATTTCTCGGCGCGGACACAGCCAGGACAGCGCACAGGCGCCGAGGGCAATTTGCTTGTTCTCCCGCGCATCGACGAGTCCAGTTCTTCGAATACAGACAGCGGCCATTCCGTCGACTGACCGCCAGGTAGCGTTGTCGTGTAAACGGTGCTTAAGAATCCTGTAGTAAAAGTTGCAAAAAATCGTGCCTGTGTGATTGATTGGGAGGTTATTCATAGAAATGGATGATGATTTTTGTCCCACAACGAAGAAAGATATGTGTGCAATCATGATAAATTAGAACGTTCGTATTCTTATTTATTTATAGGTTTATTTACATATTCAAGTTTTTTTACATTTAACGTCAAGAAGTAGAAAAAACTTATGTGACTCGTCATAGAAGAGAACTGCAATCAACGAATGTTTTCTTGAGCTCTGGAAACAAAACCTTCGTTCCTATATAATAACACTCAATTAACAGGTAACAAGGAGAGTTTAGGCCAGATTTGATTAGACAATATTTTCTGTCATGTTTTAAAAACAATTTGCAACGCCATTGGACCTACAATTTTTGGGTTTTAGCCCTTAACGTGCCTAATGAGACGGAATCGACTTACTGTCCCGAGAATGTGGAGAACGATAATTCACATAAGTATATTCCCTAATAACGCTTCTCATAGCTCAAGAAAATGTGCACAAACAGTAAAGCTACCTTTATGTCCGGAAGCAACACAAGGGTCATCTCAGCATTTGCATAATGGATCAAAGGAAATGGACGAAAAACCTGATTGAGATGGAGGTCATTGTCCCAGAACTGAAGATCAATACTTGTTACTGGCATATTTACGCTTTTCAAATTACACAGTTCAAATAGATACATTTTAAATATTATTAAAATAAATACTATGATCTTTTCTGATGGTTAGTATTGTTTCCTTTTCATAGGAACAGCAGAAACGATTTTTTCTAACACTTAAATTTGCATACTGATTATATATTTTTTAAATATTATCTGACAAATTGTAGTAAAGTAATGTACATGTATTGTAAGTGATTTTTTGATGTTACTGACAGATGAAGGTGATTCCTACGTCGTGTGTAATTATCGTATTATAGATATTTGCATTGGATGAAAATATATTCCCACCTTTCAGTAAGTAAATTTTGACAATATTCACTGATTCCTCAATGGAGAGACAGAAATACGAGAAAGAAATATTAATGAGATATTTCCAATGAAATCGGACAAAACTACAACCAATATAATTTCAAAAAAATGTACAATTGTTTTATATTTAAATGTATTAATGAAATATGTTATTTACATTATTTATTTGTTACTAATTTTTAAATTTACATGCAATCTTTTGGAAGAAATTATTTAGAGCTATAAAGCAAATAAGTCATGTGCTAGAGAAAATACTGTTAATAAAAAACCATCAAGTTAATACAACTATATTTTGACACTGAATTGAATGTGAATTAAAATTACTTGCTTTGAAGATTAAGAAAATTTATGAATTTTATCTAAAAATCTGAGAAATACGATTTGTTCTATGAAAACCAATTTGCTCAAATGCTGTCACATGCTATACACTACTAATGGTTAAGAAAATTCAACGGCATTTGTTTGCACTTCTTAAAGGTCTTTTCCAAGATCTCCATACAGCGTTTAGAGAAGTACGAAAATGGATTCAGATATTTCCTATTGAGTGAATGTTTCAAGAGAGTTCCTACCCAAAAGGTGCGGAACGTAGATATTTTTCTTACACTAAATCAACTCATTTAATTTCTGCATACCACCAGTGAAGGTATCATGCAATCATACTATCTTCTATCGTGTAAGCGAATGCTCTATGTTTTTTAGAATAGGCTGTTTAGTAGACTCTCGCTTTTTCTTGACTGCATGCCAGGGAACGAATGCATGTGGAAGAGTGAGGGTTCTGGGAGATGGATGTGGATTATCGTATTGCTAGTAACATTTCACAGGGCAGATTTGGGTGAATATATTTGTACTGAGCGCTAGCGTTAACTAAGCTAAGAATTTGACCATTTCTTAAAATTTCATATATTACTGTTTCGTTTCCCGCAAATTCGTTAGCTCTATTTTCGCAAGCACAATTGTATCATCTGCTATCAACGAAAAGTTACCTAAGACAAGGTATACGTTCCGTATATGACAAATTGGTCGTACTTTACATGCTACAGTTTGCCTTCGTTCAGAAAATATGTACGCGATTGTTTAGACACGTATGCCGTCCCTCATGAGTTGCAAACCACCGGCCGCAATTTCTAGCGTATTAAATGACCATGCGGTACTCTCATTACACTAGAAAGGGTATTATAAATGGTATAAGGAAAGGTAATAACATTTTGCAGAAAAGAGATAAAACGCATGAAGAACGAGTAAGCCACTTAAGCACAATCACTTTGAAGAGCAGAAAATGTGGATTGGTCTTTTAGAGACTTTCAAAATCCAGCAGGGAAAGTTCAGCAAAGACCACACGCGCTAAATTTGGCGATCAATTGCCCTCTAAGTGTGAGCTGGGCAGCGCGGAGTCCTGGGCAGAGGCGTTGAGTGTGATAGTGTGAGCGGTAGGGGATAGTACTTAACGGCAGGGGCAGGCCAACATCGTAACCAGGAGACCCCCTTAACAGCCGACACAATATTAGCAAACTCTGCAAAGGCTCTCTCACATGTAAATTCCGGTAAGAACATTGGCCAGAGTCGTCTGACCATAAGATAAAGATCACAATATACCAACTCGAGCGAGTGTTTTTGTAGCTGAA